AAGAAATTGAGGTATTTTGTAATCTGCTTTATTGTTATCCTTGTTGATGCATCTAACAAGATTAAAAATTGGTTACTGTAGGCAGAACATGCCAAATTTCAAGGTACAAAAGTAACAGTCGCATCATTCTTAGAATGGAAAGAAAATATTGAACGAGAAATGGCAGAAAAAGAAAGAAATACGAAAAGTTTAGCCTTATTAAAAAAAGAAGAAATGAGAAAGAATAAACTCACTGGTACTTTTATTTTTCTTTGCTATTTATCATTGTATTGAAGAACACTAACTTTATACTTATAATATTTAGGTCGACAATTATTCGAACACGACCAAGCGCTTGCTAAGTCTGATGTCACATTTATGGATGAAGACGATGTTGCAGTTGATATTTCGATATTTGAAAGAGAGGTTGATATGGAAAGTGAAGAGGAAGAAAATGATGTTCTTGATTTAGTAAGGAATAGTACTGATGAATAATAATTTTGTTGGATAATTTGATTAATTGTGGATATCAAATATGAATAATTGTGATATAGTTTACTTACTAGCAATATATTCAAAATGAGATAATTTAAATTCGATAAAATTCAGGAGTTTTTTTTATTTTCATAGAGGAGAAATTAGACCAATTATATTTAATCACTGTTTAATACCTTTCACATCGTGATCACTGATCAGGAAAAAAAAAACCCCCCAAAAATATTCGTTAAGTCTACTTTATTATCCATCTCTATGCATTGCATATATATATATATACTTTTAACAATGCGAAGAATAATATCGGATCACGACTATTAATAAACTATTAAATTAAACTACATATGGCAAAGAATTCCTTTGACTTCACGTTCTATATATTTTTTTCTCGATTAAAATGTTAACACACTTTTAATATCGTGAATATTAGGCGCAAAATGATTATTTCTTCGCCGAAAGAACGTACTTCAAATTTTTTACGAGTTTTCATTCGAATGATGGCAACCTAATAATTAAATGTAAAATTTTACTACTATAATTCTTTCGTAATATTTTTATTAGTTTACGCAATGATTTTTTTTTTTTTAATTAAATGTAATTAATTTTTACTTTATTATGCTTTTCGTAGCTATTATTACATTTTTCTTAAGAGTTAAAAATTATTGCTTAATTTTTGCGTAATGATTTCTTGCTTTTTTAGCGTCAGTAAAAGCTATGTAAGGATTGCTTATTGCTGGTAATAGGAAAAATTTATCTGCTCTTTAATAAAGAACTTTTACTATTCGATAAGTAAAATCTTCTACCCTTAGCTATGGACCACCTTTTAATCTAACGAGAAGATCGATATAATAAAGTTACCTGC